CTGTCTTTGGGCAAAAAGGCCTGCATAAGAGACACAGAACCCACAGTCATGGAAGTAATGAATTATCTCATCTCTCACCCTGAAAACACTAAACAACACAAGATTAAAGAAACCCAGTACTAACTCAAAATAATCAAATCTGTGGTGCAGTCTGTAAATTCTACAGACAACAGGAAAAGGAAATGAACATTTTCAGGGAAGGCTTCGCAGAGCTCTCTATCAAATTGAGCCGTGACTCACGTGCACATCTTCGTAGAGGAAGAAGGGAATCCCGAGAGGAACTCAAGAGCAAAGGCTTAGAGTCCGGCAGGGGCTTGGGACAATGGAGAGGCTAGTCCAGCTATAGTGCAAGATGCAGCACTGCCATGCAAAGTTGGAGAAGTAGACCCAGAACACACACACAGTGAGGGCCTTGAATGCCAGGCCAAAGAACTGCCTGAATGCCAGAAGCCAAAGGCCCTCAGGCTAAAAGGAAGACATACAAAGTGAAATACTCTTGGTGACTACAGCTATCAAACCAGGAAATCATCTATATCCCAGGTCAAGATTTCAAATTCCTTTGCAGCCCACGTGCTGTGGATCTTGGGACTATCACTCATCTACCCACTTACTCAAATATTATGAAGCACTTACTATGTGTGAGGCAAAGTGCCTTCACTTCCACCCACTATCAACAGAGCCAGGGCCCCATCCAGACTCCTCTCCCAGGCACTCCCATATCAGGGCAATAAACATGGTGAGCAACTTCCACTCACCCCACAGAGCCCACTGTCCACTGACAGTCACCCGCTAGACACTCGCATGTGTGTTGTCCACCTCTGCCTGCACAAGAGCTGTCCCAAACGTGCTGCAGAGCCATCCTCTGACATTTTCTTCCTGTAAAGGATGTGTCTTGAGCCAAGCAGAAGGCCGAAGGAGGTAGAAAGCAGGAAATCAAGTGGTAGGTCAAACCACAGGCACCAGGTGACCTGCCCATCTGTCCCCAGGTTTGGATAAACCACCAGCCTCAGACAGATCTTCTAACCCCCGCATCTGGCTTTGTGGAACTTCTGTGTTTCTTACGGGATGCCTCAGGGCCCACAGAGCACCCAGTCCCACAATCCCTCCAGGAAAACAGCCTCCCAAGCCTTCCTTCCACTGCAGCCACTCACCCGCTTCCTTTAAAGCAAATGCCACTGGAGAAGCCACTTCCCAGCACTCCTCCCTCACTAACCACACAAGTTCCAACCACCGCACTTCTGCAACCATTTAATCAAGCCTTCCAATTAAAGAGGCTGCAACTTCTGCTCACCTCGGACAGCACTGCAGGACGGGAGGAGCAAATCAGTGGCTGCAACCCCGGCATCAGAGGTAAGGCAGAGCAGACACACAGCCTGGCCCGGCCCCGCCTCTGCTCCCGCCCCCACCGCACCCTCCGCAGAAGGTGACCAAGAGCAATTAGTGCTATTATGTCCCAACGCACTTCCCAGCTACATCTCAGCAGAGATGGCTCTCCTTGTAATATTAATTAAACACAGCTTTTTTGGCAAAACCCCTAAAGAATGGCTTTTGTGGCAAGCTTCTTTATTAAGCCTCCAAGAAGGCAAAATGCATTAAGATATTGTAACAGGGGACTATGAGCTGGGACGATGAAGGCTAGGCAATCCAGCCAAAAGCTATTCGAAAAATCTGTTGGGGAGCCACAGTTAGATGCTTTAGTGAGTGAAATACAATTAATCTGATCAAATCTGTCACTATTCTGCACATTAGGAATAAATATTTTAGAACACAGTCCAGCTGTATCAGTTAAGGGTAGAAGTCCTGCCTGCAGAATCCACATGTGCTGTCTCCTGCCTGCTCCTGAAAGAGTGATCTGCCAAGGCCCAAAAAGGACCAGTGTCTCCCCACTTCCACCCACCGAGGCGCAACGGTGGGCACCTTAAGAGAAAGCTACCTGGCAAGTCCTTCCTGGAAGGCACCTGAAGAGCAGCAGCCTGCAAACCAGCTCGGAGCGTGAAGAGAGGGGGAACGCAGCACCACCCGCTTGGTGCAGGGATGGGAGCCCTAGCAAGGATTAATCAGCAGGAGGGGCATGAGGAAGTGGGCTATGCCTTCACAGCTCTCCACCCTCAAGAGCCACCTGCCAACTCATTGAGTAGCAAGGAGGCTTCTTCCTTCATCTGAGGGAAAAGGACAGAGTCTTACGTTTTTGTTTCCCTATAAGCACGGGGACTGGGCTCTCCCTGAGTGTGAAACACTCTCCAACCCATTAATCACCAAGATCCCAGCTGCAGACAAGGGCTGCAAAACACCATGGCAAATCGCCCCTTCAGAGCAGCAGCTCCAGGGCCAGGTCTACTCACCTCCACCCCAGCAGCACCCGGCAATGACACACAGTGCCGCTCTTGCTTCCCTCTGCCTCACCCCAGTGGGCACCTTCTCCTGCAGCCTCCCAGCCTTCCTGCCCCTCCCAGCACCAAAGCAAACACCTGCCCAGCTTTGGGTGAGGCCCGCTTCCTGCCCTCTCAGGCCCTCAGCCCCGGCTGGAACCAGTGAGGTGGGGTGAAGACCCTTCTCCTTGGCCCACACCCTGGGCTGTAACCGCTCCAGGATGGAGCTTCACTCTGAGTTATGTGAGTGACTAAAAACTGACTTCCCCTCCAGTACTGAAGTTCACCAGGGCAGCAAAGCCCAGTTGTGTTAAATCTGAAATGGGGGCTTCCCTACAGGGATGTATTAACACTTCAGAAGCCAGAAGAACAGAGGGCACTGTCTTTCCAAGTCTGAAGGCCCGGTGACAGGCCCCTGTCCTCTGCTTTGTGGCATCTGCCTCCACTTAAAAATAATGGTGCAAGGACCTTCATCCTCCAGGTCGGCCACTTCCAGGTCCCCAGAAGGGAGGGGGAGCAGACCCAAACTGAGAATCCCGCCAAGGCTGGTTCCCCTTCCTCTCCAGGGACTTTCCATACAGGCTCACACAGACAGCTTCCCCCTCTTCCTTAAAGGGCATCCCAGACCTGACAGTCAGGAGCGCCTCTCTCTCTCTAGCATGGCCAACAGACACGGGCAGAAGACAAGCTCAGGAAGCAGCCCCTCTCTGACTACTGAGTGCCCGGGGCACCCCTACCCTTGCTGGGACAGTGGTGGCTGCCAGGAACAGCCAGGGTCCTGGGGGATGCCCACAGATGGCTCAGACCGCACGGCTGTTACTGAGCCCAATTCACCACTCTGAAGTCCCATCTCAAGGGGCTTTGTCAACACTCAAAAATGACAGAAGCAGAGACCTAGGAAAACCCCTTAGGCTGGCTGAAAGATGGCTCCTCCCCTTCCTCCCTCCTCCTCCTCCTCCTGGGACACCTTTACTTCCCTCCTCACAACACAGCCACCGTCCTCACTAGTCGGAAAGTGAGCACGCACATTCCTAATTACCAAAGTAAAATGAAGTTGAGACTCACAAGCCTCCCGGTCAGAGAGCACCCAGGCACATCCTCCGGGGACTTGACAGTCGGGTCACCCGCACCCAGGACACAGCCGTCCAGCCCAAGGCTGTGAGGATCTTCGGGGAAAGCCCAGGAAGCCGCATCACGCTGCCCCTAAGCTGCTTTCTGCACACCCGGGGTCCAGCACCTGGTACCCAGGCTGGGCTGTCCTGCCGTGCTGTGCATCCCTGAGAGGCAGGAATCTGCTCCTGGGTTCCCCTGGTGTGCTTATGAGAGTCACTACCCTCCCCCGTGACCCTCAGCTCCGTTAAAATAAGGTGGACACCTTATTTTATTGAGGAAAACCTTTCAATCGCAGTTCATGAAGAGAATGACAAACCGGGGCAGCTTTCCCACCACACGGGCTTTGCAAAGCCGCTCCTCCAGAAATCCATCATGACCTGCCTGGAGCCCTGCTCTGCCAACCCACGATCTCTCCCAAGCCAGAGCCAGGAAGGAGGGAAAGATGTCCAAAGCTGCCTGAAGTAGGAGAGGGGAGGAGGGCGTGCAGAAAGCGGTGGGAGCCCGTCCCCAGCCTTTCCGTGACTTGGCGGCCCAAAGCGGCAAGGTGGCGAGGTGGGGACCGGCCCTGGAGCACGTGCTGCGGGCCTCTGCAGCTGCCGGGGCCCTGGCAGGCAAAGCTCGGGCGCCCAGTCCCCAGCGCCCCAACCGCCGGAGCGGGTTCAGGGGCGCCACCTCTCGGTACGGCCGCGTCCAAGGGAGAGGGGAGACAAGGGGAGAGGTGGAGCAGTGCGCAGCCGGCACGGGGACCCAGCTCCGCTCCCGGCAGCACTCGAGGCGCTGGACACGGTGGTGGAAACCAGTCTTCTGGTGGAGACTTAGGCGTGCTGCGTGCGCCCGGGGGTGAGCGGTGCCGAGAGAGAACTGACTGCGCTTCACGCTTTAAACTTTTCCACTGCCTCTCTTACAGCCTCCCAGACAGCCGCCTGGCCTTTGAGGGGCCGGCGGACCGTGCGCCCCGAGGGAAAAGCGGCCACCTCCGGCTGGTGGAAGTCCGAGAGGCCTCATCTCGCGTGAGGGTGCGCGGGGTTGGTGCGGGAGGGGAGCCCCGGAAGGCGCAGGAATCCGTTCTTCTGTCCAGTGGCTCTTTCTCCACACGAACCCGTGTCTTCGCCCGGGAATTGAAGCACCCCCAAACAGGGAAACTGACTCGTACAAGCCAAAAGGGAGTGACCGAGGAAGCCTCTTCCGCCCATCTCTAGACACAGGCCCTCTCCCCTCTCTGGACAGCCCCAGTTCTAGGGTCTCCAGTAAACACACTCGCGCGAGTGCGCGCGCGCGAGCACACACACACACACACACACACACACACACACACACACACACACACACCATCATCATGGCAAACTCTGCTAACCTGTTGGGGAAACAGGGGAAACGGTCAAATATACCCCCACCCTCGCAAAAGTCTGGATGCCCCCGTCCTCCACCTCGACCTAGGAGCAACTTGCGTCCCTCGCCCTCACCCCCATCCCCTGGAGTCTGGCGCGGCAGGCCCGCCGCCGGCGGGAGGGTACTCACGCTGCTGTTGTGCCCGAACCAGTGCACCATGGCTTGATTGTGGGCCGAGTCCCCGGTCAGCGCGAACGAGGTGCTGGGCAGACGGAGCTCCTCGGCGGCCGAGCCCCCAGTCCGCGCAGCGCGCACCTCCTCCCGAGGACCCTGGGCCAGAGGGCGGCTTCCTTTGGAGCCATCGGCCGTGGCAGGGGCCCGGGTGTCTCCGCGCTCCAGGGCGCTGGGGGGCTGCGCCCGGCGACTCCTCCTCGCGCCGCCCAGCTTGCCGGGTGCCGGGACGCCCTGGACCCACGGCGCGCCTGGAGGCGACGTCCCCGCGGCTTCCGCCCGCATCTCGCCGCCTGGCAGGCGCTCCGGCGAAGCTGCTCTCCGCGCGGTCGCCGGCTCCTCCGGCCACTGGCTCGCCACTGCCCGCGGCAAGAGGAGAGGAAGCGCCGGTGGCCGCGAACCCGCAGCCCGGAGGTGCCTGGGACCGCCCGTCGTGCCCCAAGCGATCTCGGCGCCCGCGAGGACCCACGTCGACAGGAGCAGGAGCCCGGTGCGGGCGAGG